ACACACCCACCCTCCCTCACACACACACACACACACACACACACACACACACACACATACACCCTCTCTCTCTGTCACACACACACATATATATGTATATCTTTTGAAATGAAATAATACTTTTATTCAGCAAGGATGCATTAAATTGCTTAAAATTGACAGTAAAGAAATTAATATTCCTACAAAAGATTTCAAATATATACTGTTCTTTTAAATTTTCTAGATGGAGAATCCTAACTGTATCAGTTTTCACAAAAATACTAAGCAACACAAACTTTTTTTTCAACATTAATAATAATAATAATAAATATTTCTTAAGCAGCAAATCAGCATATTAGAGTGATTTCTGAAGATCATGTGACACTGAAGACTGGAGTAATGATGCTGAAAATTCAGCTTTGATCACAGAATTAATAAACATGTTACAATATATTCACATAAAAAGCAGTTATTTTAAATTGTAATAATATTTCACAATATTGCTGTTTTTACTGTATTTTTCATCCAATGAATGCAGCCTTGGTGAACATAAGAGTCTTATACATCAAAACATTAAAATATCTTAATAGAAAATGCTTCTATTTTGAATTTTTTTCTTATTTAATACATTTTTATTACACAAATTAAAATACTGTCTTCATATATTCATTTTAAGTCATAACCTTTGTTTAATATTTTTTCAAACTATGGTCCTAGACTTCTGCACTTTATGTTTTTAGAGCTGAACAAATTTGCTTTGACATGAAAAAAAAAATCATTTTTCAAGTAAAACAAATATGAAAACAATCTTACCACTTTTCTCTTGTGTTTCTCTCATTTACAGACAGCTGGATATGCTGTGCACGTCCTCCTGATTGTTTGGTCACATGACAAATCAATGCTCAGATGCACAGGTGTCTGAACGTACCCACCGGCTCATCTTCCCCGACTCAACCCCTACTTTCTACTTTCTATTTATCACCAGTGAATAAACTGATGCAGTCTGGCAGTTTCTGGTCCAGGATTTGTACTCTGAAAGAAGAAACGATTTTGTTTTAGTCTCTGAAGGTATAATATGTCATATGTACTCACATAGGAATAATACACAACCAAGGAGAAATCTCAAAATACGTTATTTACATAATGTCAAGTCATGCTACTGGAGCACTAAACAATTCTGTCAAGTTCTAAATATCTTCAAATATAACACATTCTCTTTTGATATAGAAAGTGTCTTTAGTCCTCCTCACATGTTGTCAGGGAGGATTTTCTACAAGTGTAACAAATGCTTTTTCACAGAAACGGCTTGCATCCTCTGAAAGTACCTTGTGGTATAGTCATATTATATTAATTTAGTTTCTCCACTGCTAAACGCTGGCTGATTACTTTAATAGCATTACGCAGACAACAATATAATTAAAATTGTGTGCGGTGGTTTCTCAACAAGTGGACAGGGGCCCACTATAGGGGGCCTCAGTAAGTCCTAGAAATAATTTAAAATGAATACATTCGGTTTTATTAAAGCAATCTCAATTACAATGTTTAAACAAAAAACACAAAAGCTGTACAGCAATAAACTAACATCATATTTTTGAGTTAATTCATTTTTAACCCCTTAACTGTCACCCCCCATTTTTTAAAATAGGCAATAAAGTGCAATATCCAAACTTAAATTGTTGTAATTTATGAACACTTTGGAATACAGACCTACGGTTGGTCTCTTTTTAAAGAAGAAAATCAGCAGATTAAGTGGAATTTAAAAAAAAAATTCAAGTATCAAAAAGTTATAGACGTTTAAATTTACTGTAAAGAAAATGCGCTATACTAATTTTATTTTATTTTATATATAGTAAATATTTTACATAACAGGTTTTACTCTAAAATTGGTATAAAATTAAAGCCTTGTGTCTAAATAAGTTATGTTCCAAATTTGAAGTTGATATGAAAAAAATTGAGGTTCCTGTGAGATTTTATTTAGGGCGTTATACCACAAACAGCCTCCGGGTGCCATCCAAACTCCACTGAATTTTTTAATGCATTTTTCTGTCACAAATGTCTAGATTTCTCTGTCAATATTACTAGTTTTGATTGTAAAATACCGTAATACATGTTGTAATATGACACTTGACACCGCCCACTGAGGGGGAGGAGACCGCCAAAATATTTTAAAGTACCATTTCCATGGTAAGGAACCATTTCGAAATGGTTTTCACAGGATGAATCTTGGGCTTCTAAGCTTTCAAATGATATATGATTTATGATGATTACTAAAATTGAAGTTGATATGAAAAAAATTGAGGTTCCTGTGAGATTTTATTTAGGGCGTTATACCACAAACAGCCTCCGGGTGCCATCCAAACTCCACTGAATTTTTTAATGCATTTTTCTGTCACAAATGTCTAGATTTCTCTGTCAATATTACTAGTTTTGATTGTAAAATACCGTAATACATGTTGTAATATGACACTTGACACCGCCCACTGAGGGGGAGGAGACCGCCAAAATATTTTAAAGTACCATTTCCATGGTAAGGAACCATTTCGAAATGGTTTTCACAGGATGAATCTTGGGCTTCTAAGCTTTCAAATGATATATGCTTCATGATGATTACTAAAAGATTTCATAGAGAAAAAGGACAACAACAAAAAGAGTGCCAAACGTCCCACAGGTGGGACGGTGACAGTTAAGGGGTTTCGCCATTTTGATGCAGTTAATGAGCTTTAGATGGGAGGGCTTTTGAATATTGTCTTGGAGTCAAAAAATGAGAATCACTGCTCTAATAATCCACACCAATCCAGTCCATCAATTAACTTTTTATTTTTAGGTGAACTGTTCCTTTAAATATAGCTACACCTAAAGCTAAACCTTCTTGAACGAGTCTTTCTGAAGGCACTGAAGTAGTTACAAAAGCAACTTATTCAAAACCGTTCCGCTTATCGTTCAACAGCAATTTCACTTCTGCCTTTACTATCGTTTCATACAAATGCTTTTTATGCTAGTTTCTTTGTCACTTCTGCATTGCGCAACAACAACAACAACAACAAATAAAATATATTCAGACACCTATAAAGCCCCTCAAGTATCGTTCAAATATCCACGGTAAATAAATATGCTAATCACTCAGTACTATGGCGCTAACATTTAATACCACCACTGTACCATGGTACTGATATTATAATAACACTGACTGTAAAGAAATATGCACTGCGTCCACAGTGAATATGATTTCGTGCCATAACAATTACGCGCGCAAATATTCTTTGAAATCGCTAAGCCGATATTTAAAGCTGATAAACATCACTAACTGAGATCTGACAAGCGCAAACACGCACAGGTGCCACAAAAACCAAAACACACACTTACCCGACAACACACAGCTAGCTCTTCCGCCGGAAGAATCATTCGCCTGAGGGGGAGGGAGTCGCTGCCGGAAGTCGTCACGTCGGTGGGCGGGGCTTGTCGTGCCACGTTGATGGACAGCACAGCAGTGGGGACGTGGAGCTCCGTCCATCTGCAGACAAACCTCACACAAACCCTCGGATCTCATAAAGTTATCCTGCTAATTCACTCTAGCGCTCGCGTTTGTGCGTGGATGAGTCTGTGTGTGACCGCAAGAGAAGGTAAACACTTTCAAACTAACACAATCCCTCCGTGGATCGCTGCATTAGCCTCTCTGCTACATTATAATCTGTTTAAATGCACATTACGTGTACAGATTTCACATTTCATTCACTAAAACATGTCAGTTGCGAACATCTAGCCTCTTCTTGTGTATAACATTGCTTTATTATGAATGTCTAATTTAAGTTATCCTAAACATTCACTGTCCAATATCTTGCAAACTAGAGCTGTAGGTATTATTTAGCAGCAAGATATTATTTATTGTTTGCAATGAAGGTCCCAGCTGCTGTTACACTATTGTTACAATTCGTTCTGTTTTTATTGTCATAAGAATAATATTTGAGGGTGTCCTTGTTGCAGTGCAATTACACATTTAAGTACTGAGTGATATTAATTAACTAAATGTACTTGATTAGGGTTTGGCTTACTTGCATGTATGTAATTATGCGTAATTTATTGTTATTATAATAGTATGTACATGTAACAAGGACACCTTAAAATAAAGTGTTAGCGAAGAGTTAATGCATAATTGCATTATATTTAGGAGATGTCAATTGGTAGATCTTTCCATTGAGTTATACAATCTACTAAACAGAACAAAGCTTTATTACCGTGACTTACCTAAACAGTTTGCACATTGACTGTCAATGTGACATTTACTAAATAATCATAGCATGGTCAATGCATATCATGTTTTAATCACAGGATGAAGCTAAAAGAAATTAACCGAACAGCTATGCAGGCCTGGAGTCCAGCGCAACAGCACCCCATCTATCTGGCAGCAGGTAACTGTCTCTGAATTCATTTCCTATCTCTTGCTATTTCACTTGCACTAACTAATCAGAGAAAGTGAACACCGGGGTTTTTAACAGATTAGTAGTTAATGAACAGTTGGATATGAATTTAAAAATATGATTAATGTATAATCTGTCATTTATTATAAAACGGAGAGTTCCGGTCCTTGATTCTGATTGGCTGAGCCGCGTTCGAAGCTGTTGTAAAATACTCTATAATCATACACCTTTGTTTACTTCTGTGTGTTGCTCGGCAACCACTTTGTTGCAACCACAACTGATTCTGAGGAGCTACATTGTTTGGTGGAAGAATACTGTTTTTATTAATATCATTACACTTTATTTGCTCTGTTTTATTCTGTGAAACCGTACTACGTATAACCATGACTTCTTGGGGCTTAATGTTTTAATTTATAGACTGTCAATTTAACAATTTACTTCCAAACTGTTTTATGGAGTTTTTTTTGTCTACTGAAAGTTTTTTTGTTTTGTTTTTTGTTCAGAAAGATAGACAGCCCACTGAAATCACTGTACATCCATCCCTCACAGCCTCATTTTCGATCCTGTCAAATATGAAATACGGCATTACCCTGACTAAGGTCTGTTTGGTCTAATGCGTCTCATTGGTGAATGTGTTCAGGTACGTCGGCCCAGCAGCTCGATGCCACCTTCAGCACCAGTGCATCTCTGGAGATCTTCGAGCTGGATCTGGCTGATCCCACTTTAGCCATGAAGTCCTGCGGCTCTTTCTCCTCTCCGCACAGGTACTGCGTGTTGCTCGCTTCATCTGCTAGTGATTTACAGTTCTGTCGTCTGAGTGACCACCAAACAGTCGAGTATGTCTTTTATAGTGCTTTTTGATAAGTGTCGGACCTCATTCACTTTCGTCGTATGCACCTCTGAGTTTCTGTGAAATGTTTTGTTTTACATGGAAGTAGAGATGTAGCGTTCATTTTTTCCACGTTTTGTTATGTTGCTGCCTTATGTTAAACTGCTTTAAATTACTTTTCCCCACATCAATCTACACTCCATACACCATACGGACAAAGCAGAAACAGAATTGTCACAACTTCGTAAATTTATTAAAAATAAAAAACTGAAATAAGTACATTGCATAAGTATTCATACCCTTAACTAAATATTTAGCTGTAGCACCTTTACAGTCTCAAGTCTTTTTTGTTTGATGCGACAAGCTTTGATCATCAGCATTTGGCTATTATCTGCCATTCTTCTCCTCATCTCTTCACCTCTCAAGCTCTGTCAGGTTGGATGGGGCAGACACACATTTTCAGGTTTCTCCAGAAATATTTGATTGGGTTCAATCCCAGGCTGTGGCTGGGCCACTCAAGGACATTCACAGAGTTGTCTATAAGCCACTATTTCTGTGTTTAGGGTGATTGTCCTGTTGGAAGGTGAACCTTCTGCCCAGTCTGAGGTTCTGGATGCTCTGGACTGGGTTTTCATTAAGGCTATCTCTATATTTTGCTGCACTGAGCGTTCCTTCTATCAGCTTCTTGGTCACCACTCTAACCAAAGCCCTTCTCCGTCAGATGCTCAGTTTGGCCAGGAGGCCAGCTCTGGGAAGAGTCCTGGATGTTTCAAACTTCTTCCATTATGGATAATGAAGGCTACATGCTTCTGTAAACCTTCAATGAAGCAGATTTTCTTTTCTTTCACAGATATGTGGCTTGACACAAACCTGTTTCTGAGCTCTACAGGCAGTTCTTTTGACCTCAGGGCTTGGTTTTTGCTCTGATATGTGTTAATTTTGAATCCAAGTAGTAACCTTTCTGTTCTGTTTGTAGATACCACAAACTAGTCTGGGGTCCACATGGCATTGAAGACCAGAGTTTGCCATCAGGTGTCCTGATCGCTGGAGGAGAGAACGGCAACATCATCCTCTATGACGCCTCCAAAATCATTGCTGGAGACAGTGAAGTGATCATTTCCCAGAGCGAGAAACATACGGGACCAGTAAGAGCTCTCGACGTCAACTCGTCTCAGGTAATTACCCAAACCACGTTCTTATTCCATGGTCAGTTTGTGCAAGAATTATTATTAGTCCATGTAGTTAAGTGGAGTTATGATCAGTGTACATGACTCTCTCTCTTTTTTTTTTCTTTAGACAAACCTTGTCGCCTCTGGGGGAAATGAGTCAGAAATCTACATTTGGGATTTGAACAACTTAAGCTCCCCAATGACGCCAGGACCCAAAACACAGGTACCGATCTCATGTGCACTCAAGAAGGAGGTCTCGTTTTGCTCTTGATTTCTGATAAATGTTTTTACGAATGTCATTAGTAGGGTTTTCATGGGAAGGCACAAGATGAATTAAAATATTTTAAAATAAGCTGAAACTTCACTAAAAATCAAGATGTTTCTTATTTGAATTCACACCTTTAAACTTCTTGTGAGTAAAAAATATTTCCATAAATCCTTATCCAGTAAATCATGAGCGACTGTAAAAGTCACATAAATTCATTGGTTAAAGGCTGTCCACTTCCAGAATAAAAATGTACTCACCCCCATGTCATCCAAGATTTTAAGTTTTTCAGTCACAAAGAGCCACAAGTTTCTTGAGGAAAACATTCCAGGACTTTTCTCCATAAAGTGGACTTCAATGGTGGCCAATGATTTGAACGTCAAAATGCAGTTTCCCTAGATAAGATATGGAATGTTTTCCTCAAAAAACTTCATTTCTTTGGGACTGAAGAAAGAAAGACATGAACATCTTGGATGACATGGGGGTGAGTAAATTATCAGGAAATTTTTATTCTGAAAGTGGACTTAATCTTTAAAAAGAGTGGGATCACTGAAGAACATTTAGTTCTTAACTTCTGGAATTCTGAAGCTTATTTTATTTTCAATTATAATTTATTTGGTTACTTATTTTAATAAATGGACACTAGTTTATGTAAATTAAAGAGCAAAGAAAAAAGTTTGCAAGACAAAACATTACAGCAGATGTACCACGGGAAACCTATTAGTTTACTTGGGGTACTTTGAACTAGTGGTCGGCCGATATATCGCCAAGGCCGATATTTGGCATTTTTCAAATATCAGCATCGGCCGATAAGTTTTTCTGTTTGGCCGATGCGTTCGAGGCGGGACTTTTATTTTGACGGCGCTGAGAACAGCAGCACCTGAGCACAGTGCTCACATTCTCCATCTTGTTCGCTGTTGTTCTGTCTAATACGGATAGAAGTCTGTCTAATAATCAAATAGAATGGTTAAACAAAGGAATTAAATTGTATACAAAAAGTATTATAACGATTGCCTTTATATTATTAGTAACAGAAAGGCAAACATTATAATACTTTCTTGTTTGCCGTCAGCATTCAGCAAATACGCATTTATATCATTTAAACAAATCTTTGAATGACTAATGAACATTTAATTTCACAAACCTTGCAAACTTAGTCGAATCCAGCTGTGAGATCTTGTGAAGTGTGCATTTGTATCCTGCATGATCGCGTGTTCTCTGCGTGACGGTCGATCCATGTGAATTGAATACGGACAGGAGGAGAGTTCTGCTTCACTGGAGACGCGCGATCGACAAACTTTAAACTCGTGATTTCAAATTATGCTGCGCTTTATGCATTTGCCCACTGTCATATTCATGTCATTTTCTCTGTGTGCTGTTTGTAAAATGAGTGTTACCTTGGCTTTATTTGAAAAAAAAAATTATTCCCAATGCACACAAACTTCCCAGAATACTGAGTGCCTTGTTGGTTACAGTGTTTACTTCCTTTTTAATTCGATTTTTATTAAATATTTATTTATTGTGATATACTTTGTCATCTAAAGTATAAGTATGTTTATTTAACATAATTATTTTTTAATCCATTTTCAAATGATTTCAAATTTCTTAATTATCAATTAAAATAAATAAAATTATATTGGCCATCGGCCACCCTGCTTTTCAAGATATCGGCATCGGCTGTCAAAAAACCAATATCGGTCGACCACTACTTTGAACATTGTTGTGGACATTAATGGGGGTCTTTGGAGGAAAAAGGTTGAGAGCAGATTTTTTTCCTGGTGGATGGAAAAACTGCCCCAAAAATCCCATAGACTTGAAAAAGGAGCCCATATATCTAGGGAGGGATTGACTTGAGACTGTCCTGGGACGGTAAGCAACCTTGTCTAATGCTGACTTTGTTGTTGCTTTTAGCCCCTAGAGGACATCAGCTGTGTTGCGTGGAACAAACAGGTGCAGCACATCCTGGCCTCGGCCAGTCCCAGCGGAAAAGCTTCGGTCTGGGATCTGAGAAAGAACGACCTGATCATCAAAGTCAGCGACCACAGCAACAGGGTATGTGCAGTTATTCCTTTTTGCCTTGATTTTATTAAACGTTTGCTAATTATAAAAGTTAACTTTAATAATGCATAAAAACTTGGTGTATTTTACTAATGACATAGTATCATGTTATTTCTAGGGCTGTTGATTTAATGTGTAAAATTAATTAACTAGTTATGAAAATAATGCATCAAAAATTATTCAAGCATGTAATGCACCCACCCCAGACCTGTGCAGGTTATCGTACATGTCATACAATTTATCGGTGGCACAGTATTGTCTGATTTAGCTCAATTTTCAACTATAAAGCCACAGCAGAACTGCTATGCAATTCCGAGCAGCACACAACGGTGATTCATTTCTTAATGGATCGGCGTATTGATTGAATCGGTTGAACCAATAATTCAATGGCCCATTCATACGGAGAGCCCTTTACTTCATTCCTGAATGAATCAGCTGTTTGAATGAATCTTGTTTGAATGAATCGAATGAATGAATGACTCAATGATTTACTCAAGACATTTACCGCCACCTACTGGCAGTTTTAATTTCTTATTTAGAGTATCATTTCATTTAAAAAAAAATCATATTTCCATATTAATAAACTATTAAAGCAATAGTTAACCCCTGCATGTTGTTTCAGACATGGCTTATGGCTTTTTTCAAAACATAAAAGCAGATAATTTGAAGAACGTTGGTATTGGTAACCAAACTGTCGGTTGTCACTGACTTTCATTGTATGAAAAAAAAATACAAAATTTCTCAAAGGTTAACTTGCCTAAAAGTTTTTGTAATGATAAATTCTTTGTTGAATCAAATAAAATATTTCTTTCTAAAGCTACTTTTTGTTATGCCTTTGATTGATTGATGCTTTTCTCATTTAGCACAAATTTGATGTGTGATTAATTTGCAATTAATTTACACCAATCGCCATTGTGTAATTAATTAGATTATAACTTTTAATCGCTTGACAGCCCTACTTATTACTATAGTACTGCTAAGAAATGCTTGTGTATTGAAGTAGTATTTTGTTGATATTACTGTCTGATGTTAGGGTTCATGATGCATGTTATTTTGATGGAGTTTGTGTTGTGGTCCAGATGCATTGCTCTGGTCTGGCCTGGAACCCAGAGGTGGCCACTCAGCTGGTTCTGGCGTCTGAAGACGACCGAATGCCCATCATCCAAATGTGGGACCTGCGCTTTGCCACCTCCCCTCTCAAAGTGCTGGAGAGCCACACAAGGTAGACATAAACATCAGCAGATGCTCTTACCATCCTTGAGTCTTTCTGTGTCCTCATCGGTCTGTATGTGTGCTTTCAGAGGTGTTTTGGCCATAGCCTGGAGTGAAGCAGATCCAGAGCTGCTCCTGAGCTGTGGGAAAGATAACCGGATCCTGTGCTGGAACCCCAACACGGCTGAGGTGAGAGCTTAGTCCTTTGAAGAACACTGAGGTGCCACCAAAAGTTTATGGGGTGTAACATGTGATGTCTTTTCAATCAGGTCCTGTATGAGCTGCCCACCAGTACTCAGTGGTGTTTTGACATCCAGTGGTGTCCCAGAAACCCAGCTGTGCTGTCTGCTGCTGCCTTTGATGGTCATATCAGCATCTACTCCATCATGGGAGGAAGCAATGACAACGCCATTACTTTACAGGCCGAACAGGTACAACTGAACTCTCAATAAAAGCTAACGTTCTCATAAGCTTGAACACTGATCTGCTCACAGTTGCTCCTGATGTTCTTTGTCTCAACAGTTAAGTAGTTCATTTGGAAATATGGATCCTTTTGGTACGGGCAAGATGCTGCCGCCTTTACAGCTGCCTCAGACCGCCCCGTCCCAGAGCACCGTCACACCTCTCAAGAAACCCCCCAAATGGATCCGAAGACCAGTTGGAGCGTCTTTCGCTGTCAGTGGCCACAGATCTAATAGACACCTTAAAAATGGTGTGCTTGTTTCTAATCCGCTTTTGTCTTTTTGTGAGCAGTTTGGTGGAAAACTGGTCACTTTGGACAACATCAAGCCAGCGGCCCAGCAGCCCCAGCAGACTGCTGCCCATGTGGTTCATATCAGTCAGGTTGTGACAGAAACAGATTTCCTTGATCGATCGAACCAACTTCAGGCAACACTCACTGCAGGAAAATTCCTTGAGTACTGCGAAACCAAGATTGAAGCTGCTCCGAGTGAATTTGAGAAGACCGTCTGGTCTTTTCTGAAGGTGGGACACTAGAGTAGGTTATAAGCTGTCGTACATGTATTACTTAATCAAATTTTTACCGAAGTTGTAACCAATAGATTTATGTGGTCAGGTGAACTTTGAAGAAGATGCACGAGGGAAATATTTGGACCTTTTGGGATACAAGAAGGAAGAGCTCGCTTTAAAGGTATTTTTGTGTGTTCACAGTGTTTGTAGTGTGAATAGCTGCATCTGCTTCTTTGTGTCTTGATTAGTTTTGCTTGTGGTTTTCAGATTGCATCAGCATTAGAAAAGAACTGCAAATCTGATGAGGCCGATGTGGTAAGTGCACCAGTCATTGTGTCTTAGCTAACGGTTAAACCTTTCTATTTTGGACTCGTTTGCATTCAGTTTGAGCCTATTTGACTTTTTGAGAACCAAGCAAAAAGATGCTCGTGCTTTAATTCATTACACAAAACAAGACAGTAGCAACACAATGTTGTTTTTTCTTTTCTTTTTCTCCTCCTCATGTACTTCCCTGTAAGCAAGGGGAAGTGAAAATTAACTTTTTTTTTTCTCGAGGAGAAGATACTTGCATAAATAAAACTTTCAGCAGCTCAATTCTTTTTCTAATTGATAAACCAAACAAAGTGGAAAAAATAGTTGTACTAACAATTACCTCATAATCAACCCTTGAATTCTTTAACTGAAATCTCATCTACTAAATGTAAATGTAAATCTTTTAGTGCATGATTGGCAAATTTCTGGCAAATGCATTTTTTTTTTTAATTCTAAAACACTCATTGTAGAAACCTAGTAACTTGTGAACAACATTTTGTGACTCGGCAAACTGATAAAAGCTTGCAACCTGCACCCTGACCCCTAGCAGTTGCTTAGTAGCCAACCAGTCAGAACTGGTCATGTTTAGCCGATCCTTGCCGTTTTTATATGCTCTCTTAAGAATTACATAAATTTAATTCAGTCATGACAACTTTCGGGATTAAATTATAAAATCTTTATTAATGTAAATAGAATGTGCATAGGTTTGGTCTGGGCGGACTAGATCTGCTACGCTGCTGCTGCTGCAGAGCAAGTAGACTTGCTTCTACTAAATGCTCAGATCATAAAATGAAAAGGAAACATGCTGCTGCCCGTAGCAGATCTAGGCAGGTGGTGCTGGGGAGGTAGTGGGCTAACATGAGGACATTCATAGAGCGCAGCATTCATTGAATATGTCCTGGTTATATAGGTAAACAGTAATGAGTATGTGAATCCGATTGGCTGGGAACATTGAATTGAATGAACCAATAAGAACGCGAGTAGAGTTTCATGGCTGAACTATTCATGACGTATGCAACTAACATTAAAGGCGCATTCAGTAGTTTGGTGCTAATAAATACCTTAATAAATAAATTCAAGAGTCATCTGAATGGTGTTCACTCACATGAGATGAAGACCGTACTCATTATAGTTTTCTTTAAAAAGTGTTTGAAAATGTTGAAATAATGTGACCTGGTAAACATAAAAGAGAATCCTCACGCTCATTGGCTGCCGCCTCTGTAGATAGTGTTGTTGTTGTTGTTTTTTAATTAGACAGTGCACCATAATTATTATTGTATCAGTGGAGACGACGGGAGAATCAATATGTACAGCTGAAGAAGCAGAAATTATCTGAAGACAGAAAGGCCGTCTTCAGTGACCTGATAATGCTACTGAAAGAACTACTGAATGCACCTTTAACAATACTATAGCTGTCTCATTTCGAAGGCTGCTCGCATTTGTCGGCTGAATATATCATTGATGCTGGCTTGTTTCAGAAAAGCAGTAATTTACAGTAATTGCATCTCACAAGGAATATAGCCGCAGGCACACACTATTTCTATGGACAATGCAACGGTCGTAATATGACAAAAACATTCATATAGTAATCTGTAAACCAGTGGCAGAGGTTGCCAAAAGTCATAGACTTCATTGGCTTTTCATATAAGCCAATGAATCACTTCTTCAATGTAATAATCTTGTTTGCTTAATTTTTCACCGCTTGCATTCCATCTTATCCTGACTGTGGTGTGTGTGAAGCTTTCACTCATATCTTCTTCCACACCTCACCATGATGCCGCTCCTGTTCCCGTGACAAACCCTGTGCCTGACCCTGTTTCTAAGCATGAACCAGTCCTTGAAACTGAACCCATTGCTGTGTCGGCTCAGCCTCAGCTCGAGCCAGAATATCCAAGTCCTCCAAACCTTGAGTCTGTGAATGAACCTTTGCTTGAGCCCACAATTGTCCCCAGTGCCAGAACCCAGAAACCTCAGTCACAGCCCTCAGTGGACTTCACCCCACCAGTAGATCTCACCTACTCCTTTGAGCAGACACCTGTATCCACACCCACATCACAGGTTGATTCTTCTGGTCAAATGATGGTCACACTCTTTGAACCTCAGCATCTGGGATCTTCAGATCTGCTGTTACCTCCTCAATCTGCTGCTGCGATGGTGCCACAAGAGTCTCTTCCTTCATGTGCACAAACAGCTGAGTTTCAGCAATCTATGCCAGGCAATCACCAAGCATCTGGTGCAGTGCATTCTGGACCAGTGCTGCCAGCTGAACCTCTTGAGTCTACTGTTGATTTACAACAGCCAGCATCTGATGTGATGCCACCATGTAGTAGCTCTCAGCCGCTGGCCGCTCTTGGCCTTTCTCCAGATATCTTGCCTCAAGAAGCCATGAGCTTGCAAACTCCAGTTGACTCCCAACCACCTGCACCAAAATTTGATTTGATGACGCAGCATCCTGTTTCTGAGACTGATCTTCTGAGTACCAGTGATTGCCGGCCTGTGCTACATGTCGAAGAGGTTTCTGGTTGTGGTGACCCAAATAAATCCAGGGCAACAGAGGCAGCGACACTGGAGGAGGTACCTTGCTCCTGCTAGAGCCTCCTGTTGCTGCATCCCTGTGTGATAGAATTACCTCTTAACCGTGCAAAATATTATTGGAATTGAATTTATTAAACTTGACAAGGCAGAGGGAGAAAAATATAGAGGGAGAAATACTCTCTGAAATCTCACACAGGAATGCTGGAATGGTAGCTTTTTTGTGGTAGATTTTTGAGTGTTGCAACTAACTTCAACCAAGCCTTGAAATGTAGGAGGTGTAGTCTTGCGGTAAAATGCATGCACTTTTTCTACCACCTTAGGAATTGTGGTGTACATAACATAGAATTTTACCAAAACAGCTGGTAGTTGACTAACAAATGTGACCCATTCTGGCGAAATGAGTCGAAATGTGAACAGGCTAATTTCGAGCTACGGGCAAAAAAAGCGAGAAATGTTAATTTTGGTCGAATATGAGGGTTTCACAAAAATTAGTATGTTAAGCCCTTGTCTAGCGATCCCAGTGCTCCAAACAGTGATTAAACATCTAATAATCATCTAATCTTCATTTGTTTGTTTTCTGAGAGGAGTAGCTTTTCTCCACTCGCTTCTCGCGCTGCCTCTCATCCGAAGCACACTTTAAATCAGTTTTTCTCTGAGTTTACTTTGCTGACTCCATCGACTTCACACAGGTGTAGCTCAGTCATTTTTTCATCCGATTCCAACAAATTTTTCATTCTTTTCTAAGTATGCATCTATGTATCTAAGTTTTGAAAATTTGCTCATTGTGGCTCATTTTGCCAGCATAGGTCACAAATGTAGCCATTTGGGCATTGCAAGATCGTTCTTTTTTCTGTTGATATCTTGTTGTTTCTCATAGGTGTTTGTTAGCTTAATGCATTTTTGTTTTTACTGTAACACATTTTTTTATCATTATCGTGATAACGCATTTCTCGCAGGTAATTGTAAGAAAGGAATGGGGTTGTAGAAGATTGTATGATTGTAGAAGTCTGTTAATTTTTTTTTTTTTATTTGAACTCTTAATTCTTATTGTTATTTTATTATCATATTGTTGTAACTCGGTCTTCCGGTGGAGCAACAGTCTCTGGTGATACGTTTAAGCAGTTTGGAAACATGGCGAAATGGAAAATAAATGCACTTCTATGCATCTCAGAGACAGAGATTTGCTTACAGTTTTACAAGACATGAACATCATGCATTTTATTAATAGTTTGAACACCAGTATAGAGGCATTTTAGTTGTGTTTCTGAGAAATTATGGATACAAATGAGAACATTTCACAACTGAAGCAAGAAGAAATATAATGACAACAAAGAGGCCTATTTGAATTGAATATTTTGTGTTCTGGGTTGGGATGCATATGAATAGCGATTTAAAAAGGTAGTAAAAACGACAAAAAAAAGGCATTAAAGCAATTTAGTCCGATCTTAATCCAAGTCATTTCTTACTCTGATTATTGGTGTACTTATTGTTTTTGAGTGTTTGCATATTAGTGTTTGCAACTTGTATTGTTCAAAACATTTTGTTTTTGCTTATATTTTTTAGTGTTTGTGTTTTGTTTTTTGCTTTTAAAATGACATTCAGCATTTTTTGAATTGTGTGGAATATCAAGTGGTTGAAATTAACCAGGAAGAGGAAGCAAATGCTCATGTTTGTCATTTCCATATATTTTTCTTATCAAGGTTGAGAAGAAAAGCACTGTCGTGGAAGAAGAAGAGCCGCCTGCCGCTGAGACATCGGACCTAGACGAGATTCCTTTTGAAGATGAAGAACCTGCTGCTGAGGAGACGTCCAACACAGACATTACTCCAGCTCCTACTTCAGACACCGTTAACCTCAAAGTTAGCCAGGGCAAGTTTCCTTTCGAATGTTCATCACATAACCTTCACTGATATAACGAACGTTGATGGAGCAAATACAATTGGAGGTCAAGTTCATCTAAAGGAAGTTACATTTTATACTAATGACTTCATGCTTGCTTTTTCTTTCAGACGTTGATGGGCTGATGACCCAGGCACTGCTGACTGGCGATTACGAAGCTGCTGTTAACCTCTGTCTGCATGATAACCGAATGGCTGACGGCATCATCCTGGCTATTGCTGGCGGTCCCGAGCTTCTGGCAAAGACTCAGAAGAAATACTTCAGCAAAACTCAAAGCAAAATCTCTAAGGTGAGTTCATGTAGCATCACAGTAGACATGCTTCTAATACTGTGTCTTCTGTTATGGGAGTTATTATAAATGAGAGATCTGTCCTTCTCTTATATGTGACCCTGGACCACAAAACCAGTCATAAGGGTCAATTTGTCAAAATTGAGATTTATACATCATCTGAAAGCTTAATAAATAAGATTTCCATTGATGTATGGTTTGTTAGGATAGGACAATATTTGGCTGAGATACAACTATTTGAAAATCTGAAATCTGAGGGTGCAAAAAAATCTAAATATTGAGAAAATCACCTTTAAAGTTGTCCAAATTAAGTTCTTAGCAATGCATATTACTAATCAAAAATTAAGTTTTGATGTATTTACAGTAGGAAATTTACTAAATATCTTCATGGAACATGATCTTTACTTAATGCCCTAATGATTTTTGGCATAAAAGAAAAATCAATCATTTTGACCCATACAATGTATTGTTGGCTATTGCTACAAATATACCCCAGCGACTTAAGACTGGTTTTGTGGTCCAGGGTCACACATATGTCTTTTTTTTTTATTTGGACCCGACTAAGAACCAAACCCGTTTTCTTTTTTATATGTATAGATATAATTTGTAGTTGATGTGTTGAATTGCATGTCTTGACATTTACTCTAGTAGCTCTGATGTCAGATCTCAATGTATTTTAGCTCATTAGTGCTGTGGTGATGAAGGACTGGTCGGACATTTTGGAGACATGTGACCTGCAGAACTGGAAGGAAGCTCTGGCTGCAGTAATGACTTATGCAAAGCCAGAGGAGTTCTCCTCACTCTGTGGTGAGTCGAGTGTACAGAATCTCTTCTGCAGGCTACACTAACATCTTAATTAATACTGGAGGAAAACTGAATATTTTAATGTTCTCAGTGATAAGAACTGCCCGATGGCCGGGGGCCAGTGTTAAAGAGAAGTGAACATAAACAGTTCAGAAAGACATCAGATGCAAGTAAACAGTGGTTTACAGAACAAAATGTTGCTCTGTCTTTAAATAAATTCAGTTATAATTAATGGATAAAAATCAACCTCAGCTAATGCGCTAACCTATATAGGAGCCCTATTTCTTGCAAATTACTGTAATATTAAAGGTTACAATTAACAACTGAGCCCAAACTATTAAATTGAGTTTTTATTTATTTATTTAGATATAATACTCAACACTTAAGTAAAAATTGTATGCAAACATGTAAATTGGACATAAGGCAGTTTTTACATTAACATATATACATATTGAAATGTAATCATTTACACACTAACTTAAACATATATTAAATAATTAAGACATCACTAACAGCTTAAGTAAAATATAATGAATATGTAGGCTAATATAGTGGATATTTAGCAAATTGCTCTTCTCTACTGAACAAACGAGCTGTGGACACTGATGACTTGCCTGAGGGAAATGTAATGCTATGTGACATTTTGTTTGCAAACTGTTTTACTGACGTTTTTCCGTGGTTAAAACACTGACTGAGCGATTACATGAGGCATGAGATGTTCATTCACATTTATTTCATGCTATAACTAGTAGTAAAGAGAAACACTCTACATCAAAAACTTGCCAAAATGGCATTTATCATTTGAATTTCCTGAAAAAATGGACACAGTTAAAAAGATTAGGCTTTGTTTCTTATAGACAGTAACAATATATAAAACTGGAAGTTATACATTAAGTTCTGCACGTGCAGTGGTTAAAACAATGCTGTATTTGTTCAGTACACATGTATCGAATCAAACATTTTCGGTTCGAATACCTGTACTGTTACACCCCTATAATATATATTTTTGCTTACTACATTGCCCAGCCCTGTTTTTGATTACTCCATTTCAATATTTTCAAGGGTAGTTATGTGCATGAATTAGGGCTAGGCGATATGGCAAAAAATTAACATTTGTCTTTTTTTTTTTTCACAACTTTTGACCAATTCTCAATTCTCAATTTCTTTAAATTTTCTAGTCAGCTTGAAAATGTAACTACACCATGATTCAAGTAATTTTTCTTTAACCCTCTAGTTAAAGAAAATTCTATTCCAAGTGCAGCACACATGAAGTTGTCAACATGATGTAAATGTTAAACAAATCATGTATTTGACATTATTTATCTTTGCAGAAAAGATGCATGAACTACATCTCTTACAAACTTGCCTTATACATATGTTCAGAAATAATAAGAGGAAAATGCTTTAAAAAAAACCCTCAAAAGTCAAGGTAATTCAAATTAAAAATGCCTGAAGGTATAACACCAGTAGACTATTATTAACTATAAATGTTCTGTAAAAACAACAGCAGCTTTCAGTCTGTTACCATGATGCAAGCATGAAATATCAAACATACAGTATCAGTTAGCCTACAGGTTTCTTATTCGCTTGTGCTGCTTTTCCATTGTTTTTCTATGTGAACATGGACGTGTTTGACTGTTGCGCTCGTGTCTCTTGCAGCATCTCATGCATGAAACGGCATTTTAAAAACGCAGCTCTCAAGTTAAAAGAAGTTCGACTCCCATTTTCTTGAATTTTTTCCTATTCCACTGCCGCGTCGCATCTGTCAACACAAAAGCGCATTCTATGTAAATAGCGCCTAGCGATATATTCTACTTATGGTCCTTCGCAGAGCGCATCACACGTGAGCGGTTAATCACGTGCACCGACATGTGGTTGGATTGTTCTTTACTGTTATGATTGGCATATTGTCGAAGTGCCTAATTCTAACGTTTGGTAATATTTCTATTCAAAATCGCGATTCCTTGATTTCTAAAAAATAAAATCGTGGCAAAACATGAAATTCAAATTCATCGATAAAATCTGAAAAATCGGCCAGCCCTAGCATGAATGTTTGGTTCTCTCCTGCAGGTCTGCTGGGCTCCAGGCTGGAGGCTGCCGAGGACACGGCACTGCAGGCTCAGGCCTGTCTCTGCTACATCTGCGCAGGCACGGTAGAGCAGCTGGTTGCCTACTGGGCCAAAGCTCAGGACTCCTGCAGCCCGCTGGCACTGCAGGTGAGGCTTCAGAAACCCACTGGCCCAAGACTGCAGTCCATCGTGTTTCCAGCAAGACCTGTTTTTATTGAACTTGATTGTGATTTGGTGTTTTTATATGAACACAATATGAGCATTGAAGTATGAACTAATGGATTGTTGTAACTGTGTTGTTGTTTGTAGGAGCTGGTTGAGAAGGTGGTGGTCCTGCAGAGAGCTGTGCTGAGAGCACAGGGTGGTGTTTCTCCTGATATGGGTGCACTGCTGGCAGAGAAGATGAATCAGTACACCAGTCTGCTGGCATCACAGGGCAGCTTACAGATGGCCATATCCTACCTGCCCACCAACACTCAACAGGTGACCGTCAGAAATTGTGCCTTAAGTTGGTAGATGGACACACAAGAGAAAGTTTACCACATGGTGAACTGCTATTGCTTTTGCAAAAATAATGTGTTGAATTGTTTTCTGTAGAGCTCTATATCAAATTATAATAGTGGCGAGCACTAAAAACAGGTTTAAACATGGTCTAAAATGAGCCGATTGCACATGTGACTGCACTTTTAGGATAAATACTAATGCCTCCTGATGCATCCTGGATAACAAGGCAATGCGCGTCTTGTGTAAAATGCAGTAATTGCTCTAAAACAAGGATTTCAGCCTTTGCTGGTTTGGGTCAGTGTTGTTATTGTTAATTAAAACTACAACTAAAATTATTAGAAAATAGTTTTTTGTTCATTTAAATAAGCTGAAATAAAATTAGGGCTGCCCTCGACTACAGATTTTTCTTGTCGACTAGTAGTCGTTCATTTTAAGCATTAGTCGACTAATCGCACGTTTATTAATAAACCGTTTAAATCATTATTATGAGACTTTAGCTGCCTACATAGCCTAATAAGCGCTCAAGTGCACGAATAAAGCTTCCCACAGCACACCGGCAGAAGCTATGATTATGAATGTGTCAGGGAAAAACAGTAAGGAGACTGCATTAACATTTTAATAATTTGTTAAACTAGTGCTTTCTTTGTTTTAGGTTTAAGAGATGAAGTCGGCGACACTGACTCGTCATCTCCGCAGTAGTGATGCACCTGTATACATGTTTCATATGGATTACATAATCTGAGAATATTTGTTTTCCATTTGAATTGGTTAATTTAAAAGTAGATATTTCGCTCTCTATAGATATAGATATATTTTTCATGTCTGTAACGCAAAGATATACTCGGAGTTTCGTGTTCAAGTTCACAGAGACCGAGACGACAGAAAGCGCATCATGTTTGCTTTCATTATTTATCAAAAGCGCGATTTGTTGTTATTGTGAGTGCACACAAATAAACATAGAGTCTTTACAGATTCGAAAGATGTATTACTCTTATCTGTATGACCAGAAATGACAGAGTATTTTAGGAGCAAGTGAGCGCACTGGCACCTCCATCTGTCCTGCAGTGAGCACACACTTCACACTCCACACAAGTTGCTGCTACTTACATATTTCAGATGATAAGCCATATTTGAGGTCGATGAATGATAGGTGAGCATTTGGATGTCCTGCCCAATGTACTGTATTACCATAGACTAGCCGTTAACGATCTGTCCGTCACGGACTGCGTGACTTCGCCTGTGGAATTTATTTATTTATTTAGTTTTTCTGCGACTAATACAATTTTGGTCGACCAAGCCTCTTCTGGTCGACTAACGACTAGTCGACTATTGGGGGGCAGCCCTAAATAAAATATAAATATTAGATGAAAAATGTTTATGAAGTGCTGCCTTGGTAACTAACTGAAATAAAGTAAGTTTAAGTTGAAGTACTAAAATTGCTAAAGCTAGAACTGAAGTAAAAATAAAAAGCAAAGTTATATAGCTTTAAAAATAAAAATATAAAATTTTAACTAAAATTAAAATGTAAATTAAAATATAAAAATAAAAAATAATTTAAAGTATTAATAAATACTAGAGTAGCATATCAATATTACAAAAATAACACTGCATTGACTAAATATTCAAAATCTATTACAAAGATTTTATTAACAATTATAAAATTAAGCAATCTTACTTGATGTGAATGCACTTTTATGAGGTTTATTAAAGGGGTGGTTGATTGCGATTTCACTTTTTTTAATGTTAGTTAGTGTGTAATGTTGCTGTTTGAGCATAAACGATATCTGCGAAGTTACGATGCTGAAAGTTCAATGCAAACGGAGATATATTTTATAATTATGGCAGTTTAATGACTACAAAAACGGATCGTAGGAACAACGAGTTACTTCCTGGGTTTGCGACGTCACAAAACCCAGATAAACCCCGCCCTCGGGAACATGCGAGAATGCTTAGAGAAGAGGAAGAGAAAACTAGAGGTGCACGTTAAAATCTATTCATATATGAATCGCGATTCTGTCTTCTAACGATTCTAATGGATTCACAAGTTTCAAAATCAATGTTCTAAAGCAGCGGTTCTTAATACTGTTCCTCGTGTCGCCCTGCTCTGCACACGCTTTGCATCTCTCTCTCTCGCTCTCTCTCTCTCTTTCTCTCTCATTCAGCTCCAACAATGAACTGTTCCAATTATACACTTATTTTCACATAGCTATGAGAAGCATTAAATATGTACGTGCATGCGGTTTCTGTACTGTATTAAAGCTTTAATCAGGATAAAACCGTATATTAAAAGCTAACATAAGCAGTAGCATTTACAAATAACAAAGACACGCACTAGAGGCGGTTTAGCCAATCACAACACACTGGGGTAGCTAACCAATCAGAGCCCATCGCCTATTTCTGAGGGCGGGGCTTCATAAAAACAGGTAAAGATCAGCGTGTTTCTCAGAGAAGGGACAGAACGGTGTGGAATAAAGATAAATTATGTGAAAAATAATGCGTTTTTTAACAAACGAAGCATTAACACATGTTAGACTGCACCCCGTATACACAATCAAGCCTAGAAAAAAAAACAGTGAACCACCCCTTTAAGTTTCCTAAAGAATTAATTTTTGGAGAGTAATTTTGTGACGTTTGTCTCACAAGTTATGAGAGATTCGTAAATATTTTGGACCTGAAAATGTTTAAATGGTAAAATCCAAATACAAGTGCATTTCCTAAGTTTATTTATTTTTTAAATAAAATAGAACATTAAACAAGTATTAAGTATTAATAATTAGCTATTAATTATTAATAATTAGTTAATAATTAAAAATAGGCCAGCTGCAAAGGGATTTGAGTACTCTGCATGCATTTTGCTATTTTAATGTTACTAATCATCTATTAATTTATTGTTCACTTTAATAACAATGATAATAAGAATTCCTGAATTTTATTTAAATCAATCATTGAAAGTAGTCTCACAAACAAAACCTCTCATGCACTGTTTGCACTACACAAACACACAAATCTCTGTTTGTTGCTATTTATACACTATTATTGTGTACATACATGTTTTACATTGTACTTAAATAAAAAAAAAAATACCTGCATATAATTACATCTGTAATTAATTTCTGTAATTACATTTATAATTACACTGTTGACACTGTCCTCTTTTTAGACCTAAAAAATAAGTCCGGCCGGGATTTCTAAATCACCTGAAATGTCCGGGATTTGGCTTTTGCTTTCTACAGTCGCCATTCATTCTGTGTGTTTTTGTATAATATTGAATATAATTTTCATGCATCAGGGAGCCGCTATCAATATGCAGAGTATTTAAATTGCTTTGGATGCAGCTCGTGTTGGATGCAGGGTTGCCAAGTCCACACTTTTTTTCCATTAAATTTGGCTACTGCTGCTATGGGTTCATCCCCCTTCAAACCTTGCCATGGGTTAAAGGTTTGAAATATTGCATAAATTACATTTGACTGAAATGCTTGTAACATTGAAACATTTCGCATTCTACCCATGATAAACTGTGGTAGATATTAGTTTTGTGATGGATTGCCACTGGTAAGATGCCTTTTAGCTCTGTTTATGATCAATCTGCGTAATAGTGACTGTAAAATATGTATTTTAGCTATGGAAATGACATATTTTGAGTTTGGATATGATATAACCCTCCTTAAAACCACACACAAACCCAATCACCAACCCCACCCATACCACCAAACCTGTCCCTAACCTTACCCCTATCCCACCTCAATAGCAGCAGAAGTGTTATGCAATACAATATGAACATGGTAACTACATATGAACGCAAGAACCTAGTAGTTAAGGACACCTAATGTAAAGTGAGACCGCACTGTATAGTTGTTTAATGGCAGCTCTGTGCGTCTGATGATTTGTATTTGTCTGTAGGTTGCTGTGGATCAGTTGCGTGATCGTCTGAGCAGAGCTCTGGGTCAGCAGCAGCAGTCTGGAGTGAGGCAGACGCTTCCCGCCGCTGTACCAGTGCAGACATACACACAACCTCAACCTCCACAGGTCCCCGCGCAGCCCGCCGCACACACTCAGTATTACCCACAGGTACGAGACACGCTCACACCCGGCGAGGAAAGCACCAGCGGCCGATACCAGCATGTTTTTGTGTTTGTGTTGTGTTCAGGGTAGATCCGCCTCTACTGTCACGTCCTGGAGTAACCAAACCCCTACAGCTCTGCCCAGTGTCCCTCGCCGGCTCGTGCCTGCCGCTGACCCGCAGGTACAGACCCACAGAGCCGAGACCGACACACAGCGCATGAGCAAAACCTGCTGGGTCTCTAAACCGCTCATTTAATACCATACTCTGGCTTTTTTGGTTCTTTGGTCGATCTCTAGTGGGCTTTGCTCCATATTTGGGTCTGAACAGTAATGTATCTTTTCTAGTTTACTCCAGTGACTTACATTATAAGTGCGTTAAACTCTAGACCAGGGCTGTCCAAACTCGGTCCTGGAGGGCCGGTGTCCTGCAGAGTTTAGCTCCAACCCCAATTAAACACACCTGAAACAGCTAATCAAGCTCTTACTAGACATACTAGAAACTTTGCGGCAGGTGTGTTGAGGCAAGTTGGATCTAAACTCTGCAGGACACCGGCCCTCCAGGACTGAGTTTGGGCACCCCTGATCTAGACACATATTTGTTTGCTTTTCTAAACTGAGAAACAAGATTCACACCTGCAAACTCGTCTCTATATATACACACACACACACTGCTGTTAAAAAAGTTTGGGATCAGTAAGTTTTTTTTTTTTTTTTTTTTTTTTTTTTTTAATATAAAAGAAATGTCTTCTGCTCTTCAAAAATACAGGGCAAAAACAGAAATATTATTACAATGTAAAATAATGGGTTTCTATTTTATATACTTTAAAATGTAATTTATTGCTGTGATCAAAGCTGAAGTTTCAGCATCATTACTTCAGTCTTTAGAAAGCATTCTGAAATCATGCTCAAATCATGCTGAAATCAAAATCATTGATTTATTATCAATGTTGTTCTGCTTAATATTTTTTTTTTTATAACTTGATACTTTTTCTTTGATGAATAAAAAGTTCAGCATTTATTCAAAATATAAATCTTTCCTAACTATGTAAGTCTTTACTATCACTTACATTTAATACATCCTTGCTGAATAAAAGTATTAATTTCATTCAAATTAAAAGAAAGAAAAGAATTTACTGTCCCCAAACTTTGGAACACTAGTGTATATTATTGTCACAAAAGATTTCTATTTTAAATAAATGCTGTTCTTTTTTTAAACTTTCTATTCATCAAAAAATCCTAAAAACAGTATCACAGGTTATAAAAAAATATTCAGCAGCACAACGGTTTCCAACATTGATCATAAATCAGCATATTATTATGATTTCTGAAGATCATGTGACACTGGAGACTGGAGAAATGATGCTGAAAATACAGCTTTGATCACAGGAATAAATTACATTTTAAAGTATATTAAAATAGGAAACCGTTATTTTAAATTGCAATAATATTTCACAATATTGCTTTTTTTCCCTGTATTTTTAATCAAATAAATCATGGTTTTTAAATCATGGTGTTCTATGCTTTAGAGTTGGAGTTGTTTCCAAACCACGTTACTTTCTAAAAAAAAAAACCATGTAGTTGTATTCTAATATCAGAATTGGCTGATTTCAATAAATTCCAGTAAGTTTTTGAAGAATTTAAAAAGTATTAATAAGTATTATTTGTATTATTGAGCTCTTTTTTCATCAGTCCAGAGTTTGCAGGTGTGGAGGTTTCTGATTTTCTGTGGCTTCTCTTCATTCATACATTAATGCAGATGTTTGTGCTGTCTCACAAATAACCAATTTCTTTCATATCCTATGTTTTTATGTTATAACATCTAATATTTTCACCTACCGTATTTTCCGGAAAATTAGTCGCAGCAAACTTGCATTTAAGAGGGGGAAAAAAATACACAAGTCGCATCAGTGTATAAAGCACATTTTTTTTATTACATTAAGAAATAATGTAAAATACCGGTAAACATCTACAAACATTATAAGCACTATAAAAATATATCTTTCCTGTTCTGTTCTGAATACTGTCTTTAAAGTTTAAAGGTTTGTTATGGAGTGAGGGAAAGTCAAATACAGCTATAAAACAAATATAAATATTGGCATTCATTATATTATCATTTTAAACTCCAGACTGTCCTGCATGCTTGTCTTTTGTCCTAAACTGTTCACTGCATTTCATTAGCAGTTTTTCCCCCAAGCCAGGACAACAATTTGACAGTCCTTCACATTTATTTACATGATTATTGTAGATATGCTGAAGCTTGTGCTGTAGCTGTTTAGTTTTGTACTTCATAAGTCGTAGTCAGATGTCAGAGTATACTGTGTTGACTAAGTCGGTGGCTCGTAACGTTAGACTTCTGACATGTTTAACATCTGTGTATCAGAAGCAACATATAAAACATGCCATTCATTCATAACAAAAGGCACTAGTTGTTTGGGTTCTTTATGTAAATGCTATAGGTGATAAGTGATATTTAGCTGGCAGATGCACTGTAATGTAAAGGGTGACATAGTATATGCATTTTTTTATATATTGTAATATGTTGTATGTACACTATTGCTCAAAAGTTTGGGGTCTGTAATTACTATTTTTATTCAGCCAGAAGTGGCAGTAAAGACATTTATAATGTTACAAAAGATTTCTTTTTGAAATTTTCCATCAAGGAATCCTAAAAAAGAATCCAATGTATCACCGTTTCCACAAAAATATTGGGCAGCACAACTGTTTTCAACATTGATAATAATCAGAAATGTTTCTTGAGTAGCATATTAGAATGATTTCTGAAGGATCATGTGACACTGAATGTAAAATTCATTTTATAAAACGGAGAGTTCCGGTGCTTGATTCTGATTGGCTGAGCCACGTTCGAAGCTGTTGTAAAATACTCTACAAACATACACCTTTGTTTACTTCTGTGTGTTGCTCAGCAACCACTTTGTTGGAACTAAGGGGCGTTGTTAGGCACGACGCGAAGCAAAGGCTTCTTGGGGCTTATTGCTTTATTTGATTCACAGATATAAATAACATTTTAAAATATATTCGCATAGAAACCAGCTATTTTACATTGTAACAATATTTCGCGATATTATGTTTTTACTGTGTTTTTAATCAAATAAATGCAGGCTTGGTGAGCAGAAGAGATTTCTTTAAAACACATTAAAAATCTTACTGATCTCAAACTTTTGAACAGCAGTTATGATAGTATAGTATAACGATAGTTATAATACTCTATTTAAACAAAATGACACCATTTAAAATATTGAGTGTTGTTTATCTAACTTACCACTGAACTGATAAGTCACACAGTACGTCCATTGTGAAGAGAGGAATATAAATACTCGTTCTTCACATGAAAAAAATCTTAGCCACCCCAAAGGTTTGAGTGATATTGTAGTATAAAAAGACGTAGTTTTGCGCATCTCTAGTGTTGGTGGCAGGCTGGATCACGCTGTGTTCTCCTCATCAGTCTAAACAGGTTTCTGTCTCGTCTGTCCTCAGGTGGAGTCCTCCGCTCCAGTCTTTGGCCTTCAGTCTCCAGTGAGCGCCTCCGCTCCCTTCATGTTCTCCCAGCAGTACCAGAGTAAGTGTACTGTCACAGAAATCATGACTGTGTTCCTCATCCTTACCACTAAACCTTAGACAAAGCTTTGTTTTCTCACTACATGAGCTTAAAGTAGGGTTGTGACGGTGAGGAAATTTTCCCAACTGGTTAATTGACGTGTGACAACACCAGTAATACCGGTATCACCGTGGGGGCGTTCTCTCTTTTCCTCGCTTTCTTTCACTTTCAAATAGCGGCAATTCGGCGTAAAGCAATTGTTCGTTTTTAGTTTGTTTGAATTTTTCCTCTTTTCCTTGCTTTCCTTCACTTTTAAATAGCTTAAAAGCACCGTGCGCGTTTTACTTTCACTTTCGAATTAGCGGGCTAAACAGGTGCTTTTGCATCTAGTTTCTAAACTAAATCATCGTCTTGTCTGTCTCGCCTCACTCTTCTTGTCAGTCAGCTCGACTCACTCTCCTCACTGGAGAAATGAAATCTGATCTGTGATGCGACTGTCGTTCGGCACGCTGTATTGAGCAGCCGCGTTCAGTTTTTAATTGTAGTGTCTGTTCTTTTACTGAACTAAATGATTTTTATTACTATAAAAAATCAAAACGACGGTGGGGGTCGGTGGGCAAGTGACGTAACCGGTGTTGCGGCTTAACACCGGTATCACCGTCAGCACCGTCTATCGCGGCAAGCCTAGCTTAAAGGTGACACATTAAAAAGCTTTCACCTATCAGTTTACGTTTAGCTACTTCTTACCTCACACACTTTCACCTGTAAAACTCTTTGTGAATTGGTCATGTCAAACATTTTGACGTTGACGTGCGCTGTTAGATTAACTCTTTCTAGACAGCTGGCTATTTAATCAATTCAAATTTTCAACAGTTTGCCAATTCAAGTGCCCTCAGAGCAAAACAACACAAAAACTAAGCCAATTCACTTAACGATGGCCTGATATTGGCCGATGGCCGACCACTGACTTGTTGGCTGTGTTCAAAATCGCAGGTGGTACTTTTTATCGAGTAATTACTTTGCACTAAGTAAAAAAAGTACAATCTTAATAGTATGAATGTAATCTGGACATACTATATCTGCCATGTTGTCTTTGTCATGTAACCAACCTGCATCAGTTTCCTGTCATTTCAAGCTTTCATTTAATACTTTATAAAAGCAATAAGCCACGTGAAGCCGTGGTTTACAGTGAATTTGTAACAGCTAATGGGCGGAGTGTCGTGCCTAAAACCCCCATAGCTGTTATAAATTCACTGTAAACCACGGCTTCACGGGGCTTACTGCTTTTATAAAACGGTTATTCCATATACGTAGTAAGGTTTCACAGAATAAAACAGAGCAAATAAAGTGTAAAGATAATAAAAACAGTATTCTTCCACCAAACAATGTAGTTCCTCAGAATCAGTTGTGATTGCAACAAAGTGGTTGCCGAGCAACACACAGAAGTAAACAAAGGTGTATGATTGTAGAGTCATTTACAACAGCTTCGAACGCGGCTCAACCAATCAGAATCAAGCACCGGAACTCTCCGTTTTATAATTATGCTTTTTGATTGCCAAAAAAAAAAAGTTTTTTTTTTTAATAGTTTTAGTTTTACTTTAAAAAATTGCAATACTGGTTTGAGGTGGATTGTTTTGACTTGCTCAGTAAGCATCTGCCGAGATCAACCTTGGAAATACACGGAAATCCATTAAAAACACCTCATAATAAACCACAACAGCTAGATTTGCACAGGCAAGTGACACTCACTAAAAATCTGGTTTCCCCTTACGAAAATGAACCATGGTTTTATTATAGCAAAAGTGTAGTAACCATGGTTTTAGGCTTATTGATTACCATTTGTATAACCAGAATTACATGGTTAAACTATAGTTAGTGTAGCAAAATCATGGTTAATTTGTGGTCACCATAGTTTAATGTTGTTGTTGTTGTTGTTTTATTTGTAGTAAAACCATGGTTAATTTTGGTGCAGAAATGAGTTCACCAACAAGTGTAAACTTAAGCAATGCATGGTGTTTTGTACGGATGCTGGCTGCTGTAAAATCTTTGCATGAACTTTTTGCTCAGTATGTACTCAGATGTATGTTAACAGTACATATCATTTCACTAGAGCTGTTTATTAATGTTTGCATGCTCATAACTGCGGCTGTACTGTGAAATGACTCTGAATGACTAACTGCCTGTTGTCTCCTCTCCTCATGATCTTCAGACTATCCTCCTGCTCAGCAGTTCATGTCTGCCGCCGGGACTCCTGGCATCTATCAGCCTCTTCAGTACTCTTCTTCTACGGCTTCTCCTCTTCCTCCTCCACCCTCCTCCTCCTCCTCCTCTGCCGCTGCTGTCTATCCTCCACAGTTCATGCACCCTGCCTCCTCTCAGCCAGCAGCTCCTCCTGTGATTTCTGGGCCTCCTCAGGGAGGCCAGCCTTTCTCTCCTCCTCCTCTCTCTTCTGGCGTGTCTTTCCAGCACGGTGGGCCGGGGTCGCCCACGGCTTATCTTCCTCCTCCGGTCGCCAGAGCTCCAGGTATTCAGACTGAACCCGCACTGTTTCCAGCCTCCCAGAGAGCAGGTCTGCACTCAGCACCAGATCTAACACATACAAGCAGTGACTGATGAGAATCATCAGGTGTTTCATATATATTGCAGTCAAAAGCCTTTTCTGCTGACCAAACAAAAAAACAGTAAAAACAGTAATTTTGTGAAATGTTATTACAATTTAAAATAACTGCTTTCTATGTGTGAATATATTGTAAACTGTAATGTATTTCTGTGATCAAAGCTGAACTTTTCAGCATCATTACTGCAGTCTTCAGTGTCACATGATCCTTCAGAAATCATTCTAATACGCTGATTTGCATAGTAAATGAAAAATTGTTGTTATTAAAACTCACTTCAAGCTTTTCAATGGTAATGTATGACAGATGACAGTTTCCACAAAAATATTGGGACTGTTTTCTACATTGATAATAATCAGAAATGCTTTCTTGAGCAGCAAATCAGCATATTAGTGAATTTCTGAAGAATCATGTGACACTGAAGACTGGAGTAATGATGCTGAAAATACAGCTGCGCATCACAGAAATAA